CACAAATTCCAAAGAGAGCTCGTCAGCTCGTTGATAATATGGATAGGACAGACCTCGGAGATGACAGACTCATGGGCAAAGATGGCCGTTCCACCACACTTGCTCTCAGATCTGCAAATACTACAAACCAGTGAAAATTAATTTATGCAGGTGCACTAAATTTGATAATTTTCTGACCAATGTTCATCAATACAAAGAAATTTTGTATATTGTTCTTGACCGTAAGCTTCCAAAGGTCTATTTTACCTGGCAAGCTCGTATGGATATTTATTATCTCGTCATGTTATTGTTGTCTTTGTGGAACACATGTTCGTTGTCAGGTGGAATCATTTTTTGCCTCAGTAGGCCAAGAGGCAACAAGTGTATAATCCCGACTTGACTCAGCTGTTTCTGGGGAGACTCTCTACCATCACAGGTAAGGTAACGGCTGAGACAATAATACCCACGATTAAGTTGCGAGACGACTGTATTCACTGAACCCCTATAGATATAAACTTATTGGAAATAGGGAATCTTAATTAAACTTAAAATATGTAGCCCTTCTGGCGCGCGCGACCGCTGACCCTCTTGCTCGCAATCCGTTCATCAGTAATCACCTGTGGTTTCTCATTGATTTTTGTAGCAAGATCCTTCTGTCTGAGTCCTTTAGCTTGACGCCCTTGCTGAATCAACTTGCCAACGTCCAATGGAATGGTTTCGTGTTTCAGTTCTTCAGTCTCACGATCAAGCTTTGCAGTATTCTTTGTGGTCACATGCTGTTTGTTACTACCAGATGTATTGTATTGAAAATATAATTACATGTCCACACCACACACATAGTCTAAGCTGTAGACGAGATATTGATTTGCCAGACTTAAACTTTGTCAATAAAGAGTGACATCTGTATGAGTTTAAGCTAGGGTTGCCTTTTGAAGAATTTGTGACATTTATGTACACCACTATTTATGTCTAACTAATTCTTATGCCGCGCCATTGATTGCACTCCACTCCGCTCTACTCTAATGTACCCCGCACCGTGCTTCCATCTCCCGGCCGTCGAGTTATATATACTCCGAGTCGCTGCTTCGAGAGAGGTTATGGTGAGCGACAAAGCGGCATTCTAGAATATTTGAGGTCACCTGGCGTAGATCTAGAAGGCGAGTCACTGGTACGGGAAGGAGAGTCTCTAATAGATGGCGCCAACAGTACTATCTATTATCGTCACACTGCCCCCTCGGTAAAGTCATTCCATCCCGGAATGATCTTATTGCGGTGGATCTCGATATCGGCCACGACTGCCCTTTCTTGCAGTAGGAGTTCTTAAGAATAACAATCCACACTCCTTCCAGGAGGTAGCCGTCTAGGACTGTGACAACATACCAGAAATCGAATGGCCATTAGCATTGTGAGCCATAAAAAGATCAAATGTCATGTCCGATTCTGGTTGGATTTGCTGCATCGCCGCATCTTCGTTGTTTCCATGATAAGGTGCCCTGTAGTCGACGGAGTTTTTGAGGATCTATGACTGTAGGTTCTGATGGAGAAGGACTGACTTTGTGGCAGATGGGTTGTGGAGTCTTTATATCTAGCATAGATTTCAACTAATCCTAGTCATTTCTCAACTAATAGATATTGATTCAGCTTGTGGAAAACTCTGAATGTATAATTTAATTTTTGTAAAAATGTTCTTGCCATTTAATTTTTGCCGAGCTATAGGTAAGGGAGGCAGCTGCTCCTGGGTACGCCCTGTATAGATAGAAAGCACTTTCTGGGATTTACTAGCCTTTATTGAGGACATGCAACATTGCAAATTACCGAGGAGATGTCTCCAAACATCCTAATGTAAATAAACAGGTCTATATTTTTTATTAGCGGTGTTTTTGTGAGATGTAAATTTGAATATTGTTGGCTCGTCGGCAATTGTTTATGAAGTTACACGTCTCGTTGAAGGGTGTCTGATAATTCTAGGTCTTTAACGACCTCACGTCCATTTTGAAACTGTTGGACTACTTGAACATCTGGCTCCAATAAAGCTAAACGTTTCCTTAGTCATTCTGTCGAACGGAAGCAAAATGGGAGATTGCATTGCATGCAACTGGGTTGCTGCACGGCAATTATGAAACGCGCTCTGTATTGGTGTTTGTCAATAATAATGTAATGTATCTATTTGTATTCTGATCTACCTGTATATGTCATGGAAATGACACTTCGGTCCGGAACGTCAACCTGAACGTTTTGCCAAAGGACTGTTATTTAAAACTGTTACAATTACTGCTTAATAGACCACTTGACATTTGAAATAAAAGTGCGTACTACTTGTGATCCTTTGTAAGCGTATCCCGTACAATACCAAACATTACAGTGGCATGCATGGTACGATTCTAATAAAAATTACAGGTTACCACAGCTGAGGAAGATTGGAAATGCCGTTTGCACCCACCCCGCTCTACCAACTGACGAAATAACCTGGATATGTTCAGAATGCGGAGATTGGATGCGTAAACCTAGCGTAGAATTGCCAAAAGATCAACATGACCCTGCACGAAGCACTCCAGAATTCCCGTTTTAGGAATATCTGAGCCGTTATGCGACGATCTGGTGGTATGTCTATCGAACCCGAGGTATCAAGTACCTCAGTTGATACCTGCCTTGGGACGACCTCCATAGAATTTGCAAAATGTACTTGCATGACCCGCAGAATGCTAAAGAAATTTAGTCACTGAGCTGAAATTTGTTGACATAGATTATCTATGTTTAAAAATATCAAGACAGAACCACTGGATGAGCTTGCTGGTATTGAGAGAGGATACGAACAGTATTTAGATCAGAATTTTGTTTCTGATGAAGAATCGCCGTCAAATAGCGAAGATTCGATGTCACAGGACTCACGACCGTACAGTCTTGGAAGTGACGGTGCCGGCGACTTCTTTTTACCGTTACTGAATACACTGCCGAAAAAATTCGAATCCCACGACCTTCAAACCCTGAGAGAATTTAGACCGGCATTAAAAAGGCACAAGGATAAGGATTCGAACGAAGGCACGCCTGAAAAAACAGTTCAAGCCTTCTTCTAGCGAACCTCAGCCTTCGACTTCGACAGCCACAGATGAGTCAACAACGTAAAACTTGCCACATTGCGCCAACTTCGTGGGCAAGTGGCAAAGGAAATGAAAGTAATGAAAATAAACGCTAAAGGATATATTAAAAAAATTACATCAGAAAACAGAAAAAGAATCCATGGAGCAACAACCTCTCAAGGAGATAGTACTGTAAGACCAACAGAACAAACATTAACAAGAAGAAACACAAAACAGGCTCTCGTTCAGTTCATCCCGATAAAATCTGGATATCAGCAGCTCTCAGAAGAAAGTTCTCATAAGCATACCCAAGGAAAGAATAAAAATGTCTCAGGTCATTGCTCAATACCCGCCACGAAGTCAACCAAGAACCATTACGCGGAAGCATACGCCTCTGATACTAAAATCATCAAAGTCAACTCATCAATCAAGGTTAGTACCTCCAAGCTCCCAGAAAGAAACCAGTACTGCGCTCTCATTGGAACAGAAATTACTGCTGCGCTCTCGGCAAACGCAACCAGTGCTGGAAAACCCAATCAACGAGGTGGCACCAGTGAATTCGCAAGTAGGAGCTATCCCTCCGCTGCTTCAATCCGCACCACGTCCAAGCACACTGTCTCCCAAGATTCAAGACTCACATCCAATAACTTCAGTGGAAACTCAGTCTCAAACGCCAGCTATCGGCCAGCAGTTGGTACGCAACACGATACCACAAAGTTTGATAAGCCCACAACCAATCAGCAAGACTCTGCAAGTTCACGACACTCAACCCAACACCTCAAAAGGACCGAGTACACCTCAGCCTGTAAGGAACGACAAAATTACGGATCCTCAGCCCAGCACCACAAGGAAACCACTATTACTACGAGTGAAAACACCTGTGTGGCTCAGTACAGCGGATGTACCTCAACCTCGGGGAACCAGCTCAGAATTAATAATCGCAAAAAGTCAAGCGGTTTTACCCCAGACCAGCAAAGCATCAACAGCAGTGACACCTTCCAAACAGCGAGCCAACATTCTGCAACCCAAGGTGATTACCTTGGCTCAGCATCAGCCATGCCTATTTCAGGAAACCAGTTTACTATCAACATTCCCAGAACTCCAGGCAGAAGTACCTGCGGCCAGCCTAGTAAAAACTACGGCCAAGGAGGTCAGTCTGCCTCAGCCAAGGGAACATCAGGGATCCAGTTCCAAATCAGTTCTGAGAAGCAAAGCGGTAGTATCTCCAATTCCAGTCAACGTGGTCACTCTTCCTATACCAGTGGTACCTCCGGGGAGTACTCCTCGAGTAAAGACGCTCTCTATCCTTCAGATAGTGCCGCCTCGAACAACAAACGCACGGGCAGTACCCCAGCCACCATCTGTCAGTCCGCATTCAACAACAAGACTTACTTCACCACCAGTAGTACAAAAAATGACTGTCAAACGTCAAATTTTGGATATGCCACAACAAATAGCTTATGTGACTCAGCAAGAAGTCAGTCATGTAGTGGCCAGGGATATGACACAACAGGAATTAACATCTGCCAAGCCTCAGGAAGTCAGTCTAACGTTGAAGGATATGGCTCAACAGGACCTCCAGTCTACGTCTCAGAATATTCGAGAACCCAGTCCTTCAAACAGTCAGACTCTAACAGAAGCTGGGACGAGGGGGATGGACCGACTTATTCAGGCAACTCGGAATTTCGATGCTCGCCAAAAGGAGAAGCACAATATAACTGTTCAGAAGCAGCGAATCCAAGCAGGCAACCTCCAGGACACACAACTCATACTACAGGCCTCGCTAGAAATGAAGTGCACGCTACAGGAAGTCGGACAGGGTCAACCATCTTCATCAACTCAGGCAGCATCGTTACAAAAGGACATCCCAATCGTGTCTCCCATGAAGACACATCAGATATTAACAGAAATCTATCCTTGGACGCTAGAAGGGAGCAGACTGAGCACACCATCCCCAGAATTTGCTCAGTTAGTGCAACAGATAACAACAGAGGTTCACAATCCTTCGACGTTGCAGGAGGACAGCCCGGTTCAACAAATAGAGACCAGTCCACCTCAGTTGCCACTAGAGGACTTGATGGATCAACTGTCTTCCTTACAAGAAACCGATCCAACATCACCAGATATCAATCCGCCTCGATCACTGCTAGAGGAACTATTTCAGATCGAAAACCTGGATCACTTAGTCAGTCATATAACTCAAAAAACCAACAGCATGCCGACTACACCTCCACAGGAGTCGCACAAACTTCCAGTAGAGATGAATCTTCGTCTCCAACAAGAAATCAGTCCTTCTCCTACCCTGTTAGGCAGTTCATCTCTGCATGCGATGGAAAAGGATCATCTGCCTCCACAACCCATCTGCCACAAAGTCAGTCCTTCTCCATCAGAACCTACAGTCATAGATCCTCAAAAACTCCGTCGACTACAGGGCACCTTATCATGGAAACAACGAAGATGCGGACATGCAGCAAATCCAACCAGAATCGGACATGACATTTGATCTTTTATGGCTCACAATGCTAATGGCCATTCGATTTCTGGTATGTTGTCACAGTCCTAGATGGCTACCTCCTGGAAGGAGTGTGGATTGTTACTTCTTAAGAACTCCTACTGCAAGAAAGGGCAGTCGTGCCGATATCGAGATCCACCGCCAATAAGACCATTCCGGGACGGAATGACTTTACCGAGGGGGCAGTGTGACGATAATAGATAGTACTGTTGGCGTCATCTATTAGGAGACTCTCCTTCTCGTACCAGTGACTCGCCTTCTAGATCTACGCCAGGTGACCTCAAATATTCTAGATGCCGCTTTGTCGCTCGCCAAACCTCTCTCGAAGCAGCGATTCGGAGTATATATAACTCGACGGTCGGGAGATGGAAGCACGGTGCGGGGTACATTAGAGTAGAGCGGAGTGGAGTGCAATCAATGGCGCGGCATAAGAATTAGTTAGACATAAATAGTGGTGTACATAAATGTTCTATCTGGTCAAGTAAAGTAAAGAAGTGCATTTATTTTTGTGGAATCTCGAGTTTTAATCCACACCCAAAAGAACCCAGAAAATGCTACATTATATTCTGCGGTACAAGGGATTATATATTGAATGTATTTCGAATAAAAGACCATCCGCCTTTTGATGCACCAGGTAAGTATTCTAGAAATATAGGTTAACGAATGCAACAAATTCTTCAAAAGGCAACCCTAGCTTAAACTCAAACAGATGTCATTCTTTATTGACAAAGTTTAATTCTGGCAAATCAATATTCTCGTCTACAGCTTAGACTATGTGTGGTGTGGACATGTAATTATATTTTTCAATACAATACATCTGGTAGTAACAAACAGCATGTGACCACAAAGAATACTGCAAAGCTTGATCGTGAGACTGAAGAACTGAAACACGAAACCATTCCATTGGACGTTGGCAAGTTGATTCAGCAAGGGCGTCAAGCTAAAGGACTCAGACAGAAGGATCTTGCTACAAAAATCAATGAGAAACCACAGGTGATTACTGATGAACGGATTGCGAGCAAGAGGGTCAGCGTGTCGCGCGCGCCAGAAGGGCTACATATTTTAACTTTAATTAAGATTCCCTATTTCCAATACGTTTCTATCTATAGGGGTTCAGTGAATACAGTGTCTCGCAACTTAATCGTGGTATTATTGTCTCAGCCGTTACCTTAGCCTTGATGGTAGAGAGTCTCCCAGACACAGCTGACTCAAGTCGGGATTATACACTTGTTGCCTCTTGGCCTACTGAGGCAAAAAAATGATTCCACCTGACAACGGACATGTGTTCCACAAAGACAACAAAAACATGACGAGATAATAAATATCCATACTAGCTTGCCAAGTAAAATAGACCTTTGGAAGCTTACGGTCAAGGACAATATACAAAATTTCTTTGTATTGATGAACATTGGTCAGAAAATTATCAAATTTAGTGCACCTGCATAAATTAATTTTCACTGGTTTGTAGTATTTGCAGATCTGAGAGCAAGTGTGGTGGAACGGCCATCTTTGCCCATGAGTCTGTCATCTCCGAGGTCTGTCCTATCCATATTATCAACGAGCTGACGAGCTCTCTTTGGAATCTGTGATTGAATATTCTCCAGTTAAAATTCAACGTTTTTGTCTGATTAATATATATATATATATATATATATATATATATATATATATATATTATCATATATATATATATATATATTAATCAGACAAAAACGTTGAATTTTAACTGGAGAATATTCAATCACAGATTCCAAAGAGAGCTCGTCAGCTCGTTGATAATATGGATAGGACAGACCTCGGAGATGATAGACTCATGGGCAAAGATGGCCGTTCCACCACACTTGCTCTTAGATCTGCAAATACTACAAACCAGTGAAATTCATTTATACAAGTGCACTAAATTTGATCATTTTCTGACCAATGTTCATCAATACAAAGAAATTTTGTATATTGTTTTTGACCGTAAGCTTCCAAAGGTTTATTTTACTTGGCAAGCTCGTATGGATATTTATTATCTCGTCATGTTTTTGTTGTCTTTGTGGAACACATGTTCGTTGTCAGGTGGAATCATTTTTTTGCCTCAGTAGGCCAAGAGGCAACAAGTGTATAATCCCGACTTGAGTCAGCTGTTTTTGGGGAGACTCTCTACCATCAAGGGTAAGGTAACGGCTGAGACAATAATACCACGATTAAGTTGCGAGACACTGTATTCACTGAACCCCTATAGATATAAACGTATTGGAAATAGGGAATCTTAATTAAACTTAAAATATGTAGCCCTTCTGGCACGCGCGACACGCTGACCCTCTTGCTCGCAATCCGTTCATCAGTAATCACCTGTGGTTTCTCATTGATTTTTGTAGCAAGATCCTTCTGTCTGAGTCCTTTAGCTTGACGCCCTTGCTGAATCAACTTGCCAACGTCCAATGGAATGGTTTCGTGTTTCAGTTCTTCAGTCTCACGATCAAGCTTTGCAGTATTCTTTGTGGTCACATGCTGTTTGTTACTACCAGATGTATTGTATTGAAAAATATAATTACATGTCCACACCACACACATAGTCTAAGCTGTAGACGAAAATATTGATTTGCCAGAATTAAACTTGTCAATAAAGAGTGACATCTGTATGAGTTTAAGCTAGGGTTGCCTTTTGAAGGATTTGTTGCATTCGTTAACTTATATTTCTAGAATACTTACCTGGTGCATCAAAAGGCGGATGGTCTTTTATTCGAAATACATTCAATATATAATCCCTTGTACCGCAGAATATAATGTAGTGTTTTTCTGGGTTCTTTTGGGTGTGGATTAAAACTCGAGATTCCACAAAAATAAATGCACTTCTTTACTTTACTTGACCAGATAGAACATTTATGTACACCACTATTTATGTCTAACTAATTCTTATGCCGCGCCATTGATTGCACTCCACTCCGCTCTACTCTAATGTACCCCGCACCGTGCTTCCATCTCCCGGCCGTCGAGTTATATATACTCCGAATCGCTGCTTCGAGAGAGGTTTGGCGAGCGACAAAGCGGCATCTAGAATATTTGAGGTCACCTGGCGTAGATCTAGAAGGCGAGTCACTGGTACGAGAAGGAGAGTTTCCTAATAGATGGCGCCAACAGTACTATCTATTATCGTCACACTGCCCTCTTGGTAAAGTCATTCCGTCCCGGAATGTTCTTATTGGCGGTGGATCTCGATATCGGCACGACTGCCCTTTCTTGCAGTAGGAGTTCTTAAGAAGTAACAATCCACACTCCTTCCAGGAGGTAGCCGTCTAGGACTGTGACAACATACCAGAAATCGAATGGCCATTAGCATTGTGAGCCATAAAAAGATCAAATGTCATGTCCGATTCTGGTTGGATTTGCTGCATCGCCGCATCTTCGTTGTTTCCATGATAAGGTGCCCTGTAGTCGACGGAGTTTTTGAGGATCTATGACTGTAGGTTCTGATTTAGAAGGACTGACTTTGTGGCAGATGGGTTGTGGAGGCAGATGATCCTTTTCCATCGCATGCAGAGATGAACTGCCTAACAGGGTAGGAGAAGGACTGATTTCTTGTTGGAGACGAAGATTCATCTCTACTGGAAGTTTGTGCGACTCCCGTGGAGGTGTAGTCGGCATGCTGTTGGTTTCTTGAGTTATATGACTGACTAAGTGATCCAGGTTTTAGATCTGAAATAGTTCCTCTGGCAGTGATCGAGGCGGATTGATATATGGTGATGTTGGATCAGTTTCTTGTAAGGAAGACAGTTGATCCATCAAGTCCTCTAGTGGCAACTGAGGTGGACTGGTCTCTATTTGTTGAACCGGGCTGTCCTCCTGCAACGTCGAAGGATTGTGAACCTCTGTTGTTATCTGTTGCACTAACTGAGCAAATTCTGGGGGATGGTGTGCTCAGTCTGCTCCCTTCTAGCGTCCAAGGATAGATTTCTGTTAATATCTGATGTGTCTTCATGGGAGACGCGATTGGGATGTCCTTTTGTAACGATGCTGCCTGAGTTGATGAAGATGGTTGACCCTGGCCGACTTCCTGTAGCGTGCACTTCATTTCTGGCGAGGCCTGTAGTATGAGTTGTGTGTCCTGGAGGTCGCCTGCTTGGATTCGCTGCTTCTGAACGGTTATATTGTGCTTCTCCTTTTGGCGAGCATCGAAATTTCGAGCTGCCTGAATAAGTCGGTCCATCCCCCTCGTCCCAGCTTCTGTTAGAGTCTGACTGTTTGAAGGACTGGGTTCTCGAATATTCTGAGACGTAGTCTGGAGGTCATGTTGAGCCATATCCTTCAACGTTAGACTGACTTCCTGAGGCTTGGCAGATGTTAATTCCTGTTGTGTCATATCCCTGGCCACTACATGACTGACTTCTTGCTGAGTCACATAAGCTATTTGTTGTGGCATATCCAAATTTGACGTTTGACAGTCATTTTTTGTACTACTGGTGGTGAAGTAAGTCTTGTTGTTGAATGCGGACTGACAGATGGTGGCTGGGGTACTGCCCGTGCGTTTGTTGTTCGAGGCGGCACTATCTGAAGGATAGAGAGCGTCTTTACTCGAGGAGTACTCCCCGGAGGTACCACTGGTATAGGAAGAGTGACCACGTGACTGGAATTGGAGATACTACCGCTTTGCTTCTCAGAACTGATTTGGAACTGGATCCCTGATGTTCCCTTGGCTGAGGCAGACTGACCTCCTTGGCCGTAGTTTTTACTAGGCTGGCCGCAGGTACTTCTGCCTGGAGTTCTGGGAATGTTGATAGTAAACTGGTTTCCTGAAATAGGCATGGCTGATGCTGAGCCAAGGTAATCACCTTGGGTTGCAGAATGTTGGCTCGCTGTTTGGAAGGTGTCACTGCTGTTGATGCTTTGCTGGTCTGGGGTAAAACCGCTTGACTTTTTGCGATTATTAATTCTGAGCTGGTTCCCCGAGGTTGAGGTACATCCGCTGTACTGAGCCACACAGGTGTTTTCACTCGTAGTAATAGTGGTTTCCTTGAGGTGCTGGGCTGAGGATCCGTAATTTTGTCGTTCCTTACAGGCTGTGGTGTACTCGGTCCTTTTGAGGTGTTGGGTTGGGTGTCGTGAACTTGCAGAGTCTTGCTGATTGGTTGTGGGCTTATCAAACTTTGTGGTATCGTGTTGCGTACCAACTGCTGGCCGATAGCTGGCGTTTGAGACTGAGTTTCCACTGAAGTTATTGGATGTGAGTCTTGAATCTTGGGAGACAGTGTGCTTGGACGTGGTGCGGATTGAAGCAGCTCCTACTTGCGAATCCACTGGTGCCACCTCGTTGATTGGGTTTTCCAGCACTGGTTGCGTTTGCCGAGAGCGCAGCAGTAATTTCTGTTCCAATGAAAGCGGAGTACTGGTTTCTTTCTGGGAGCTTGGAGGTACTACCTTGATTTGATGAGTTGACTTTGATGATTTTAGTATCAGAGGCGTATGCTTCCGCGTAATGGTTCTTGGTTGACTTCGTGGCGGGTATTGAGCAATGACCTGAGACATTTTTATTCTTTCCTTGGGTATGCTTATGAGAACTTTCTTCTGAGAGCTGCTGATATCCAGATTTTTTTCTGGATGAACTGAACGAGGGCCTGTTTTGTGTTTCTTTGTTCAATGTCTGTTCTGTTGGTTTTACAGATACTATCTCCTTGAGAGGTTGTTGCTCCATGGATCCTTTTCTGTTTTCTGATGTAATTTTTTTAATATATCCTTTAGCGTTATTTTCATTACTTTCATTTCCTTGCCACTTGCCCACGAAGTTGGGGCAATGTGGCAAGTTTTACGTTTTTTGACTCATCTGTGGCTGTCGAAGTCGAAGGCTGAGGTTCGCTAGAAGAAGGCTTGAACTGTTTTTCATTCGTGCCTTCGTTCGAATCCTTATCCTTGTGCCTTTTTAATGCCGGTCTAAATTCTCTCAGGTTTTGAGGGTCGTGGGATCGGAATTTTTCGGTAGTGTATTCAGTAACGGTAAAAAGAAGTCTCCGGCACCGTCACTTCCAAGACTGTACGGTCGTGAGTCCTGTGACATCGAATCTTCGCTATTTGACGGCGATTCTTCATCAGAAACAAAATTCTGATCTAAATACTGTTCGTATCCTCTCTCAATACCAGCAAGCTCATCCAGTGGTTCTGTCTTGATATTTTTAAACATAGAGTAATCTATGTCAACAAATTTCAGCTCAGTGACTAAATTCTTAGCATTCTGCGGGTCATGCAAGTACATTTTGCAAATTCTATGGAGGTCGTCCCAAGGCAGGTATCAACTGAGTACTTGATACCTCGGGTTCGATAGACATACCACCAGATCGTCGCATAACGGCTCAGATATTCCTAAAACGGGATTCTGGAGTGCTTCGTGCAGGGTCATGTTGATCTTTGGCAATTCTACGCTAGGTTTACGCATCCAATCTCCGCATTCTGAACATATCCAGGTTA